TTGAAGTTTTGCAGTTCACTCCAACAGTTTTGTGCTGATAAGAATCAATTGAAAACATGTGTGTGTGTGTGTGTGTGTGTATGTGTGTGTGTATTGGAGGGGTCTTTGTGGTTTTCCGGCTCAGTGCAGGTGTGTTAGAGCAGAATACAGAATACACTTGTCTCATCTCTTCATGCCAGTGATCGACAGATAACCAACCAGCCCCCCCAACTCAAACCCAGTGTGTGTGTGTGTGTGTGTGTGTGTGTGTGTGTGCACATGCAGGTGTATGGTCTCTGTTATAAAACTGTTATAAAGATGCTTCAGTCTGTCATTTCATGCCTACGAACAGGGAGAGAGAGTCAGTAAGAGATGAATATGAGACAGACAGAGGGAGAGAGAGAGAGAGAGAGAGAGAGAGAAAAAGAGTGAAAATTACTTTTACCTCACACTTCCCCTGAGGAGGATATGATGTTGTTGTTCCCCTGAGGAGGATATGATGTTGAGGATATGATGTTGATGTAGGCTTTATAAGTAGAACTAGGCCTAATCAATTCAGTGCAAATTTAGCCTAATCATGCTAATAATATCCATCCATTCCATTTAAGAATATTAGATGATAGTTTACATTCAAAAAAATTACAATTGACAATTTATAAAGTCTAAATAATTAACCCAATCAGTCCTATTTATTATAATCCCTAAATATGATATACTGTATTTAAAATGTTTTTTTAAAATATTGTTTTCTAATCAATAGTCCACACACGCATTGCTCAGTCTGATTAATGACCCCTCTCCCGCAGGTGACTCGAGTGTATCACACGGAGAAGCGCAGTCTGAGCTATAACACTGCTGAGTGTGTACAGAAGCTGAACCACGAAACACTTTACAGGACAACAAAGTGTTGTGTGTGAGAAGAGAAGCAGAGACACTGAGAGAAAATGGTGAAAGATGGTGAAAGATGTCCTTGCACAGGAGGCAGTGGAGATGTGGAGAACATTGTGACGTCTGAAAGATGTCTCAGTAAAGAAAAAGAAAAAAATCCCTCTGTAGTGCAATTCTTCACAAGTAAAGGTGGAGCATTGAACAAAACGGCTGATTTCATGGAGAATCCCAGTGAAGAAGGAATTAGCGGCCTGCACACTGCGCTGCGTTCTCACCGGGTCGAGTGTGAGCTTTCAGCATTGACCACACGAATGTAAACTACACCTCTGTCTGCAGCACGGGCTCCCAGACTAGGCTTACCAACGGGGTCATGAGAGAAGCTCACTATCTCCTCTTTTGTTTCATTAAAAAAAATTTTATAAATTAATATTCAATATAGAAATATAGAAAATATAGAACATTAGAAATATCAAATATGGATTTTGTGTGCTAATATTTTGAAAAAATGTTGGGAGTCACATTCATACAAGCCATGTTTTAAATTAATATGTGTTATTTTAGTCTGTTTCACTCTCATG